AAAACAAACAATGAAGCTGGGCGTGGTGGCACAGCTCCCAGCATTGGGAGGCTGAGGCAGGAGGGCTGCCAACCTGGCTACATGCTGTGTTTAAGGCCAGTCTGAACTACACAGTGAGGCCCAGTCTCAAAAAAATCTCAATTCCCTATGATAATGTATGTATACCTAAAATGTACCAATAAACTTAACTAAAAAAATCTAAATAATTAAGTAAACCATGAGAACTGGATTATATCATAACCAAACTACATCCTGAGGATTAATCTGGGGACCAGCTATACCCGTATCACCTTACGAAGGGCTCCTGACCAATAGACAAATTCTATCCTGGTGTGGTGGTGCACACCCGCCATCCCATCGACCCAAGAAGCGGATGCAGGAGGATCCCAACTCTAAGGCCCACCCTGTGTCTCAAAATAAAATACAGAAGGCCTCGGGGATGCAGCTCACAGTTTCAGCACTACTAAAAAAATCTGGAACCCTGGAGGAGTTGAAGGGAAGGAGGAATCAAAAACCCCAAGGCAGCTGGCTGCTCTAAGGCTGGGATGCCTGAGACCTCAGAAATACTCTGGAATACAGGTCACAGGGATAGCAGAAGGGGCCGGGACTTGACCAGCACCTGACCCAGAGCTTCAGTAACTTGCTGGGCACCACAGATAGCCTCCCTGAGTCCCCAGCTGTTCCTCCAGGGAGAGGGAGGAGAGGGAGAAGGGTTCCCAGACCTCCACACTTGCCAGGCAGCAAGTCCAGCTCGCCCTCTACCTCAAGACAAGATGCAAACCCAAGCCCCCCGATCTCTTGCTGATTCTGAGACAGTAACAAGCAGGAACTCAAGACAGCCCCTGGAAACAAAGTCAAAATGGCCAAAAGAAAACCTATTTAGAGAAGAAAATATTGATTACTTTCAAGCCCAAAAGTTTTCTTTCTTTCTCCTTCATCTTTTTGGGTTTTTTCAATGTTAACATTCAAACCCAAGGTCTCACACATGCCAGGCAAGCATTTATTTTTCTGTACTAGGGTTTGAACCCAGGGCCATTTTCTGACTGAGCAGCATCTCCACCCCTTTGTAAACAAAAAAAAAAAAAAAAAAATTTTTTTTGAGATAGGTTCTCCCTGAGTTGCTAAATTGCCCAGGATGAGCAGGTATTCACAGTCCTCTAGTATCAGTCTCCCAGAATGCTGAGATCACAGATGTCTGCCACCAAGCGTGGATCCTGGGGTTTTCAATGGGCAATTTATGTGCAGTATCATTTGGCTTATCTATCCTACTGCTTTTGATGTAAAGAACAATCTACTGACTTAAACACGGTTTCCTCCAAAACTATCATTTATTATTCATTTGTGATTCTCCTCACATTTCTCATATTAAAGTGAAGTTTTTTGGGTTTTTGTTTTTGTTTTTTTTGGGGGTTTTTTTTGGTTTTTTTCCGGTACTGGGGATCGAACTCATGACCTTGCGCCTGCCAGGCAGGCGCTGTGCCACTGAGCTAAACCCTCAGCTCCTTAAAGTGAAGTTATGACAGCACACTTTTTTAATTCTAAAACTTACTAAAAGTTGGTAAAATTTTTATCTGAAGGTAAGAAAACTCTGGGATCTTTATTCTAATTAATTAGAAGTTTCCTGAACACAATCTCTTTTGAAAATAGAATTTCCTCAAGCTGTAACTCAGCAAGACCCGGTCTCAAAATAAAATAAGTAAAATGGGCTGATGTACCTAAATGGAAAGCCCCTGCATTCCATCCCCAATACCACCCCAAAAAAAAGAAAAAAAAGAAAAACTTGGCCCAATTACTTCACAAGTTAGTATGTAAAAAGGAGCTTTCCTTTCAAAAGACACAGAACAGTTTCTATCACAAATCAAGACTAAAGGTGCCCTGATTGTCGCAAACCTACTTTCAGAAGAGACCATTTTCCAGATACAACAAAGTACCTAAAATTCTATCATATTTTTCTCTTTTCTCATCTGTCACCTTAGCAACACATGATATAACTCAAACCTATTTGTCTTTTTCCTTATTTCATGAAAGAATTCATGGTGATCTAAATGTTAATATTTTATACTGACACTTAAAAGAATCCAAACATTCCTAATATTGTATATCGGTCTAGAAGAATACTAGGAATGGAAGAAACTTTTAATGGTGTATTACTTGTAGCCAGGAGTGGTGGAATGAGCCTGTTAATCACAGTACTCTAAGAGTCTGAGTAAGTCAAAGAGATCCCATCTCAAAAAAGACTGGGGAGGGCTGGGGATCTAGCTCAGCGGCACAACGCCTGCCTGGCAAGCACGAGGTAGTGAGTTCGAGTCCTGGTACGGCGGGGGGAGGGGGGTACGACTGGGGATGTAACTCAGTTTAAAGTCCCTGGGTTCAATTATCTGCACAGAAAATTGAAACAAAACAAAAAACACTACTGTTTTAAGTTTTTCAAACAGCTGAAGCAAAAGCAATGTTAAAAAACTGAACAGAGGGGCTTGGGATTTAGCTTAGAGGCACAGCGCCTGCCCTGCAAGAGCAAGGTTGCGAGTTCGATTCCCAGTACTAAAAAAATAAAAAACAGAACTGACAGGGCTGGGAATATAGCTCAGGGGTACAAGTGCCTGCCTGGCAAGTGCAAGGTCCTGAGTTCAATTTCCGACACCCAAAAAAAAAAAAAAAAAAATGAACTGACTGCAAACCAGGTTTGGGATGCATAACTGAGTAGCTAGCCAGGGCTCCAGGTACATAAAGTGGGGACTAATATAGAAAATATGCCCTACTTCTCTCCTGCTGTGACTAAGCTCCGAGTTACACCACAAGCACTACAGGCATGCTTCCGTGAATGACAGCAGCACTATCCTCCCTGCTAGCCTGGCCTAACACAAAAACACTTAGGTTCGAGTGTTAAGAAGACCTCTACGGGTCAAAAAACAAAATGCTAAATAATGTAAACGTCACCTTCATCATTTAAAGGAGCTAAGAGACAACTCCACATGGCAAATAGTCTCAAAAAAATATTTCAGAAGTTTCATAAACACGTACCTCACTAACAACGTGGTTACAGCAGAATTAGACGAATCTGAGCCCAGGGCTAGCAACCCTAGGGCCAGCTCTGAATTCAAAAGCTGTCCCCACTCCGAGGGAGTCCTGCGGCTCGTCTCCCCAGCCAGCCAGGCCTCCTCCTCTCCCCGGGAAGCGCATGACAAACAGGGCGTCACGCAGCTAAAGTCACCGGACCACTTAGCAAAAATTACACCTCGCTTCTAAACTTGGAGTTGGAGGGCCTTGTACCCTCAGAAGACATGGAGCTGGGGGCCGCGGGCGCGCTCCCTCCGGAGGTCCAGTCGTGGATCCCGACCCGCGTCCCCGCCGGCCGCGCTCGCCCAGCTCGCGGCCCGTCTTGCCAGAGCGGAGGAACTTTTCCTGCTTATCGCGGTGCCCGGGAGCACGAGGCCCTGCAATCCAATCTCCTAACCTGGCAGAGGAAGAGGCTGGCGGAGGAAGGGGAGGAAGCCAAGGGAGCACGGCTTTCTGGGAGACAAAAAAAAATTAAACACCCAGGTTCCTCCTCCAGCCGGGCAAGCCGAGCCCCGCGGCCCCGCGAGCTGCACCCCGAGCGCCGTCGCCCCACGCGCGGCGCCCAGCTGTCAGACCTCAACTCACCGGCGGGCGTTAGGATGGACAGGGACAAAACCCGCGCCGCGCCGGCCCGCAGGGACCGAGGGCGCGGGGCG